ACGGCACGGTTTCCATAGTAGCCGATGTAGTTCAAAGGTAGGGGGTGGCTTCTAAAAACTAAGACGGAGGAGAGAGAGGGGCCGGAGGATGATGACACGACACAAGCTGAACAAGGGAGGATGTGCAGGAAGGGCTGTAAATTTTTAATGGGGCAATTACGGTATTAGTCACAAGCATTCAGCCATAGACAGCTGTGAGCGCTTCGCCCCGGCCGGCCGTGCGTAAGCAGAGCACGTGAGAGAGACACACGAGCAGGGTCTGCCGCCACACAGCCAATTGGGGGGGGGACGACACAGAGGTGGGGAAGGGGCCTCGGCCTCGCCCCAGCGCAGCCCCATGGCAGGCAGACCGAGCCAGGGGCCTGAGCGGCCCCCCAGGGGTGGTGGTGGTGGTGGTAGGTGCCAGAACCCGAAGGAGGTGCTTGGGTGGCGCTCGGCCCACCTGGTCGTGCCAGGGGACCTTGTCCCGTGAGGATTCTTCAAGAGTGGCAGCAGGAAGAAAATGCAGCCAGGCTCTCCACAAGCAGGAACCCAAGACAAAGTTCGGGGGGGTCCCCCTATATTGGGGGGGACAAGTGAAGCGTTTGGATTCTTCAGCGCTCTTGATCTGTCAGGGTGGGATGTGGGGGGGAGGAGACGAACCCCTCTGATGCCGGGCGGGTGCGTCGGCCACCACGTGCGTGTCTTCCCGCTGCTGAAAGAGGTGGGCGGCAGCCTCAGCACAGACCGAAGGCCTCGGAGGAGGAGAGGCCGTGGGCGGCTTGGTGGGGGCTGCCTGGTCGGGCAGGGACGGGGGGGCAACACCCCTTCCCCTCCTCGGTTGAAGCTCCCCCCCCTCGCTCCTGGCTTGGCTCAGAGCAGGAAAAGACCGAAAGGTCGGGGCCTCTGGGTTCGTGGTCCCTCTGGGTGCCAAAATTAGACGGTATGGGAGATTTAGAGTGAACATGGAAGTCCCCGGGACCCTCCTGGTGGGTGAGGAGAACCCTCATCCTCTGAAGGGAAAGTGGGAGAGGGCCACGCAACATTTGTGCGTGTTGCTGTCTGTTGTGCCTCAGTTCAGTCTTATAGAACCCCGAGGAGGGTCGTTGTTGAGTCATGAAGTCGTGTCCGGCGCTTCGTGACCCCATGGCCCAGAGCACGCCAGGCCCTCCTGTCCTCCGCTGCCCCGAGAAGGGCGGCTGCCCCCCAATTTCACTTCATTCAGCCAGACAAGGGGCCCCACCCAGGCCCCTCGGTCAGTTTGGGACTCGGTGTCCCAAGAGTTGTGGGGCCGGACGAGGGGGGCGTGTCTTTGGTGAGGCCGGCGTTCCATCAGTCTCTGGTTCAAACTCCTTGTGCCACAGGTGTTCCCTGAGGGATTTATGTTCTTTATATCCTGGGGAGAGGGACCCCAGCCAGACTACTGACAAGGAGACCATCCACCAAACCTTTGGTTCAAACACTATTTGTTAGTATTATTATTGCTTTCATTAATTTGAAACCCAAGACAAAGGTATCAAGAGGCCTCTTTTCACCCTATACTCTCTCTCTCTCACACACACACACACACCCGACTCTTCCCTGATGGTTGATCAGTCCTTCAGTAAGAGTGATGGGAGCAACGTTGCCACGCCAGGCGAAGCCCGCCGTCTCTTCCTGGGTCATCCTGCTTGTCGAGCATCTTCCTGGTGGGCTGTGGGTGGGCATAAGCAAGCAGGGGGGCATCCTAGGTAGGTACAGTCTGTGGCTGCCATGCAGGAACGTTTCCTTCATGTGTACAGTTGTTGTTGTTTTTTTAACCACACACCCGCTTCCAGCCATCCTGCTTCCCTTTTCTCGTCTGGACCAACAAGTCCAAATTCCTCTTTTTCCTTAGAACTTCCGTCCACAGTATGCAGTTTCTTGATGATATAGAAAACTGTCTCTTGCAACTCTTGCGTGAGGCTCTCCACCCCGTCTCCCCTTGGAAGTCTCCCTCTTCCTTTTAAGCCTGGGTTGCTGGAAGCCACGCATCCCGCTGCTCAGAGCGCAGGGAAGGGTTGGGGTGAGCGGCCGAGGCCCGAGCACAGTCAGTCGTGGCTTTCCATTCAGAGTGAGCTCCTCTCCGCTTTCACCCTCGGAGCGGACTCTGCTACCTGAGGACGCAGCCTCTCCCGAGTTATTCTGGTTTGCTGCTTTAGGGCTGTCCAGGGGCCAGGAGGTCAGAGGGAGGAAGGCGGGAGGCAGCTTGTAAGGATTTCCCCCTGCGTGGGCTCCGAGTGGCGGCTTGGAAGGGGGGTGCGCGCTTCATTACAACAGCAGGGCTGTTGGGTTTGGGGCAGGGCATACAGTAGGTGAGGACGAATGGGAAGAAACACAACCCATTTATCGGCTGCTCCATTTAACTAGGTGACTCCCAAGTCCTTTGAGTTCTAGGCAATGACAGCTCACTCTTCTGCCATGGGAGATTTCTTCTCTGCACCGAGTGTGCATATTTATCTCAGAGAAAGCGAGAGAACTGGGGGGGGGAGTCAGAGCTACTCCTCCCACCTGTTATCAGTGCTGCTCATGCCCAGGGCCCTGTTCCCTCATGCAGCCACCACACAGCCCCCCCCACGCCTGGTGTCCCCTTCCAGAAGTCTCTGTTGGATCCCCCCCTTTTTTTTAATGGTATGGCTAGCAGCTGACTACTGTGTCCTGCCTGATGCACAGTGACTAGCTTTACTGTGTTGCCATGTGGTTGTTGCTTTTGCGCCTCTGTGGCAACTGTCATGCCATGCTCTGTCCAAAAGATTTTAGGTTTAAATGGTATCCCTTCTTGGGTTAGTACAGAAGCGGTGGAGGACGGCCCTTCTCAGCAGCGTCTTCCTGAAAGGAACTGGCCCCAAACAGGCCCTCCGACCCCTCCAGAGAACTGACTACTGTGTGTAACTTCCCACCCTTCTCCCTCAGGATTTTTCACCATTGTTTCAAGTCTGCTGAAGTTTCGGCTGTCTGCTTCCAGGTCACCAAAGTCAACTTGCTTTTCCAGTGCTTTTGCTAAGCACTAAGAGCCTTTGTAGGCATAGGGTTCAAGGTCCAGCTGCTGGGAGACTTTCCAGTCCATAGGCAGGCCTTTACCTGGCAGGGCAGCTGCGGCAGCTCAGCCTGTGCTGGGGGACAAAACCGCCAGCCGGAGGTAAGGTAGCTTCGTCAAGAGCCAAGGTTTTTAGGGGTCCCTTCCTTCCTTCCATCTCTCTATATTTTCAGGCCTCCCTTCTATATTTCTGTATTTTCCTTCCTTCTATCTTTCTATATTTTCCTCCCTCCCTCCCTCCCTCCCTTCCTTCCTTCCTTCCTTCCTTCCTTCCCAGCTGCACGTACATCTCATAGATTATCTCCTTTTCTGGCGAACGGCTGCTGTCGCTGTGCGTGAAGCCTGTGGGAGGAAGGAGGGTCCTGACCGTCGTCCCCTTTTCTCTTTTGGAAAAGCCGCTGAAGGCTCCAGAGACTCAGCTGGCCTCCCTGTTTCCTTCTTTATCTGCAGGCCCAGGCCGCCAGTTCGCCACCCACGTCCCCCACCCACGGGAGCAGCCGCTCGATGCCCATGCCAGTCCGGTCCACTTCTGCTGGCTCCACCCCAACGCACGGGCCCCAAGATTCCCTCGCTGGTGTCGGTGGGGATGTTCAGGAAGCCTTTGCACGAGGTGAGGCAACGGGGAGCCCCAGGACCGCTGCCGCAGCCACGCCAAACCCCTTGGCATCTTCTGGACCTGGCCAGGAGACGGGGAGGCCACCTCAAGGGCTAGTCCTCGCTCCCGTAGACCCGTTAAAGGACCTGCTCAAAGGCAAAGAGTCACCCATTTAGTCAGTCCTGTCGATCCAGTGACTCAGGCCCGGTGGGGGTACCAGTGGGGTTTCAGCCCAAAACGTCGTTGGTCCAATGTTGTTGGTGTTTTAGTGCTCGGGTCACACTCTACCCAAACCTTGGCTCACCCTTCCTCTTATCCCGGGATCTCCTCACCCATCCCAACAGCCAGGATGCAGCAGCACGGGCCATCATAGTAGGAAGCGGAGGAGACGATGTGGGGCCGGGAATGGTCAGTTGGACGCTTGAGTCCTCGGCAGAGGCTTCGGTCGACACTGGAATGGGGAGTGTCCCAGTTTCCTGAGATGCCACAAAGGCATCCCTTCCTGCTTTTTTGCGTGGTCCTGATGTTGAAGCTGCTGCCCTCGGGTGCCCTCGGCTGCAGGAGACGTGGGGCGTTTTTCCTTGCCACCTGTTCCTGCCCCCCCTCCACCTGGATGCCCAGAGGCCAGAAAGGCAGAAGTGAGGAAAGACCTTTAGAGACGTCCTTTGCTTTCCTCCACAGTTACTCATTCCTTGCTTAAGCCAGTTAGTACAGTTGGCATTCATTAATGGCCACACTCTGTGGGCCAGAGAGGAGCAAGCAGACGGAGAGTTGGCCTGCTCTCCCAAGCGGGCTCCGAGGGAGTTGAGGAAGGGCCCTCCTGCGTAACGGGAGAACGTGCCCTTTGGAGCAACTTGGAGGAGGAGGAGGAAGAGGTGTGAGGGCAAGCCCCCAATGGGGCCCTGATGCCTTTTCTGGAAACGGAGGCCTTCCTCTGAGCCTTGGGCTCCTTCCTGCTCGGTGTGGATCTCACTGGCCACATGGTTTCAACCAAGAGGTGTGCGGCCAGCTGGGATGGAGACCAGGCAGGCTTTGAGACTAGGACACATGGCTGGCTCCTCCCCGCAGCCCTGGGGAGAGGCTGGTGCGCTTGCCCCGGCCCACCGCCGCAGCCTCTCCTCGGGGGTGGGGATCCGATTCCCCAGAATGGAACGGATGGAGAGTACAGTAATGGGTTAGGGTCCCACCATCAGACTCCCCATCGCTGGGGGAGGCGGCCCCTTGCACCCACCGGTGGTTTTTAAAAGCTGCTTCGGGGCCCCGTTCTCCCTCCCTATGCCTTCCTCTCCCGCTTTCTCCCCAGGAAGCCGACGAAACCTGCGCAACGACCTGCTGGTAGCAGCCGATTCCATTACCAACACAATGTCCTCCCTGGTGAAGGAGCTCCATTCAGGTAGGCGGGAGGGGGGGCGGGAGG